CACAATCATCTCTTTCTTATCATTTGCACAACATCCACACACATTCAGACTTCCCACTTTGACAATTTTATTCTTCTTATTCTTTTTAGTAACCATTACAGAAAAAGGGGTTACTAGCCCATTGTTCCCGGCATTTTAGTTGACTTTTACAACACGCATGGCTTACGGAGGAAAGATTCTTATTCCACTTCCCCATGGATATAAAAGGAAAAGCAATAAGACCAAGAACTATTAAGATAAAATCAAAGAAAACTCAGATGAGTGTGTATAAATAAACGTGTACATGTATGTGTAGTGTGACCTAAGTGTAAGTAGAAGTAGCAAGACATACCTGTAATCTTGCATATTTATGAGACAGACAAAAGACACCAGCAATCCTACCATCATGTAAAACAACTACAGGCTTTCGTTTTACACTCGTTTGGCAGGACGGTAGTACCTCCCTGGGTGGTTGCTGTCTACCAACCTACTACCATTAATAATACTAATACATAATAATAATAATCACTCTTGGGCATATTAAATGTTTTAGTTTGTTAATATAGACACTTTCATTAATCCGTCTGTGATATTTTCTTCAAAATTATATAAGAAACATGTTACATATCATATAAACGTGATACATACTGAATAAAATGTAACATACTTACAGCATGCCACAAAGGGTGTATAATGGAAGGAAATTAAAAGAGAACACAGGAAATTAGCAAGGTGATGAAGATAAAAGATTTAAGTAATGGAAGATTGGATATGAGCTTTGAGGGAAGGAATATTTGCTAGGGAACTTGTCAGCAGATGGATCTATGAAAGACGAGACGAATCATAGAATTGATGAGGGGAAAAAGGTGAGTGGAGCACGTAGGAGTTTGTGGAGACAAAGAATACTATCCATGGAAGCAAAGAGGGGAATGTACGAGAGTATAGTTGTACCAATGTTCTTATATGGGTATGAAGTATGGGTGGTGAATGTTGCACCAGGGAGAAAGGTGGAGAAAGTGGAGATGTCATGTGAATATAATGCAGAGAATCTATAACTTGGAGATTAGGAGGTGTGGGGTTACTTAAAGTACAGGTCCTCCATCACAAATCCGGCATCATTGGGACCTGTAGTGTGCCGGATTACTGAGTTTGCCGGATTACAGAGTGGTTAGGTTAGAATACACTTAATAAAATGAACCAACTTGACTTACACAAAGTTCATTGAACATCGGCAAAAATCGAACATTTCCGCTACTTTGAGCTCAATTTCAAGGTACTTTTCGTCATGAAAGCAATCAAAATTGTGTCTATTTCTGTAAGATATCTTCCATTCTATCCAATGAGCCCAAAAAAATGAGAATACAACCATAAAAACCATACGAAAATATACTGCAAAGAGGCGGCTAATGACTGAGAAGTGAACTCCCTTATTTATCGTCTGTCTCTTTTATTTTTGTTGTATGTTAAGAAGCATCTTTCCATCATACATTGCCCAAGTTTCAATGAGATAGTCCAACAAACAACCGAGAAAAAAAATATTTACCAAAAATCATGTATGGCAAGCCCAAGCCAGGTACTGGAAATAAGTCACTTTGTCAGACTTTTCTGGGTTATCCCAGGTTCTCTATACATACACTGCTATGTAGGATAATCTATGTAACTGTATTTGTGTATACTTGACTAAACTTATTTACTTCTAGTCTGTCAACTGAGTACAAGAAACCGCCCATTCACTTATTTCAACTACCCAATAAAGTGGTCAAAAATTGGCAATTTGGCCAATTTCACATAAATTTCAACAGATGCCAAATTCAAAATAGGGTCCAGAATAAACACTGCAGACATTCCTGGCAGTAAAATAACATTTTCTTTGTTCATTAGTCATGGCTACAGGCCCTTCTTATATTACTCTTGCTTACCATTTGGAATTTTTATTCACAAAAAAAAAAAAAAATAGAAGATTTACTGTTATGCAGACTACTGCATTATTGTAATAATTGTATAAATAATGTCAACCCAGGACAGGTATTGGACAGTGACGTCATTTGTTTACTCTTGAGCTTCGCTAAAGAATAGAACATTTTCGCTACTGTGAGCGCAATTTCAAGGTACTTTTCGTCATGAAAGGAATCGAAATCATATCTATTTCTGTAATATATCATTCATTCTATCAAATGAGACCGAAAAAATGAGAATATAACCATAAACACCATATGAAAATATACCGCTAAGCAGCCGCTAATGGCCGAGAAGTGAACTCCGCTATTTATGGTCTGATTTCTTTCATTTTTGGTGTATGTTAAGAAGTATCTTTCCCTCATACATTGCCCAAGTTTGAATAAGGTAACCCAACAAACAACTGAGAAAATAATATAATAATAATAATAATATCTTTATTTACTACATGTACATGTACAAGGTGACATCAGTGACATACTACTACAGTGGAACCTCAAATATTGAACTTAATCTGTTCCAGGAGTTAGTTCTAAATTTGAAAAGTCTGAAAAGCGAAGCAATATTTCCTTTAAGAAATAATGGAAATACAATTAATCCGTTCCAGAAACCCAAAAATATTCACAAAAAAATATATTTTATAGAGATTAATTATAGTTTTACATACACACAACAAATATAATGTTCAGTTATGTATTAATAAGTTTATTTTAAATAAACATATAAAATAACATTTTACTTGATGGTATAAACCTTGGTAATAAATACCGACAAGTTGGTTTAGAAAGACACGTAAGCAAACACTATAACATATTTATTAGAAAACGTTTCGGTCCTGGGACCTTGATCACGGTCCCAGGACCGAAACGTTTTCTAATAAATATGTTATAGTGTTTGCTTACGTGTCTTTCTAAACCAACATTTTACTTACCTTTATTGAAGATTGGTGATGGCATCTGGAAGATAGGGAGGAGGAGAGAGGGAGTTGGGGTTAGTGTTTGGAAGGAGAATCATCCTCCATGAGGACTTCAGGTATCAAAGCCCTCTCTGGGGTTACTTCCCTTCTCTGTGTTTTAATGCCACTAGGACCAGCTTGAGAGTCACTGGATCCCTGTCTCACAAAATAACTGTCCAGTCCTCTGTTTCTGGTGCCTCTAAGATTTCCCTAAAATGGGACATGGTTCTGTCACTGAACTTGTTTCTAAGATGGTTTGTTTCAGCTTGCTCAGGGCGGTACTTCTCCACAAACATTTAGACATCATTCCACTTCTGTATTATTTCCTTCTTCATATGTATGGTGTTTCTCACTTTCTTTACCACAGGGGTACCACTAGCAAGTTTCAATGCTCCCATTGTAGCTTATTTTACAGTCTCACAAACACTAAACACAATGAAATAATCGTAAAATGTTTGAATGAGATCGCAGGTTAGTGTTCACTCAAGCATCAACAAAACCAGACTGGCTCACGGCGCCTGCATGGGGACACAGACAGAGCGGGCTGCCGGACAGGTCTGGTACCCGGCGGTTCGAAAATAGGGGCGAGTTCGATAATAGGGACAAAGTTGGTTCGAAAAAAGGGTTCTATTTTCGAAGAGTTCGATAAGCGATACGTTTGAAATTTGAGGTTCCACTGTAGTACATATATAGAAAGCCGCTCGTTATGCCGAGTATTTCAAGAAAATTAGGTCAGTGTCCCAGGATAACACCCACACTAGTCGGCTAACACCCAGGTACCCATTTACTGATGAGTAAACATAGACAACAGGTGTAAAGAAACACGCCTAAAGTTTCTACCCTGGCTGGGAATCGAATATTTACTAAAAATCATATATGGCTAACCCAAGCCAGGTACTAGAAATAAGCCACTTTGACTTTTTTGGGTTATGCTAGGTTCTCTACACATGCTGCTATGTGTTATAATCTATATAGAGAAAATAACTTTTTTGTTTCAGGTTTATGGTGCAGTACGAGTGTATATCACAGTTAGCCCTGTGCTATACTCCGTTTTCTCTAATAAGCCACCAAGACAGGCATAGGAGAATGGCAGTTGTATCCCATATTCTCTTCATACCTGTCTAACTGCTCGGTGTTTTGCTAATTATTTATTCTGGAGTATTTAACATGTTTTATGTTATTTATATTGTTTATTATGTCATATTAGATCAGTTATGATAGGCAAATAAGCTGTAGTGTTGATATTAGCATAATAATAAATCATATTCTCCTGCTTCATGAGACTGAGCTCATGGTAACCGACAGTGGCTGCAAAGCCACCTTATCTTTAATGGATAATGTACTGTGTAAGTGCTTTACATGATGAGAAGCATTTCTTTTATTCGTTAGAACCATGGCTAGGGCTAAAAGTAAGCAGGTTAAAACAATAAATGGAGAAAAAGAAACTGGAATGACTTATGTAGCAAGTAGCACCACCAAACAGTACCAGCAGGTTGGTGTGGTGACCCTGGAAATTTGAAATTATGCTAGCCAAAATTAGTGTCGAATAACTGAAGGAACCGAATAACTGATTGTTGGATTTGTGATGGCGGACCTGTATTATCAGAGGGAAGAGGAAGGGTTGTTGAGGTGGTTCAGACAATTAGAGAGGATGGATCAAGACAGATTTGGAGGGCATACAAATCTGTAGTGGAAGGCAGGGTAGGGGTCATCCTAGCAAAGTTTGGAGGGGGTAAAGGAGGTTTTGTGTGCGAGGGGCTTGGACTTCCAGCAAGCGTGTGTGAGGGTGTTAGGAGTAAGTGGAGATGAATGTTATATATGACTTGATGTACTGTTGGAGTGTGAGCAAAGTAAGATTTATGAAGGGATTCAGGGAAACCAGTTAGCCAGACTTGAGTCCTGGAGGTGGGAAGTACAGTGCCAGTGCTTTGATGGGGGGGGGGGGGGTGTTGATATGTTGCAGGTTTTTAGCTATAATGTAGGCACAGACAGTGATGGAATGAATGATGTTGAAAGTGTTTCTTCTTTTTTGGGTAATCCTGCCTTAGTGGGGAAACTGCTGAAGTGTTAATAAAAACAATAAAAATAATATTGTTTGTATGTATTTCAGGTATAGCAAGTGAGATGTCTGTATGGGATGGTGTTGTGGTATCTGCATTAGAAAAAGCCTATGAGAAACCACCAGAACGACCCCCTCAGGATGACGACACTGACAACATGGATGCTGATGATGATCCAATGGAAACAACTGATAATTAAGGAGCAGAAAAGAATTTTATCTTTGCAGCACATTTGTTCCATCTAGTGTTTCACTGGTGCAACTTTAATTAAAAACTGTGATGTCAACATGTTTGAAGAGGTACACATAGGTGTGTTGTGTAATAATAAATGAGTTGAGAATGTTAAAGTGTGTGCATCCTAAGTATGTGAAGGTTACTGTGCTTCTTTTTAATTCACTTTAATACTTCACCATTTATGTCTAATTGTTTGCTTTTGAAAATAAAGCCTGGAGTATTGATAATTTATTGAAACTTTATGCAATTACACTATTTATTAGGTTAAAAATATTTGTGAGACTGGTGATGGGTGCAGCTGGAAACCCTTATCACATTCTCTTAATCTTTCTCCTTACTTTACCACATTCTCTTAACCCTTAAATGGTCCAAACGTATATAAAAGTTCACCTGTGCAGTGCCCCGAATATTTTGAGAGAAAAAAAAAATATTTTTTTTTTTATAGGAAAAAAGAGCATGTGGGACCCAGGTGTCCCCAATTTTTTTCATGTGACACGCTGAGTGTGCACACCCAATTCTCTCATGTCTAGGCAACTCAGGCCTATCATGCCAATGTTGAATGAATGACGAATGAAACATATACATACGTTTGGGGCCCTACATGAGAGAACGTATATATACGTTTGGACCGTTTGAGGGTTAATCTTTCTTCTTACTTTACCACATTTTCTTAATCTTTCTCATTACTTTCCCTTACTACATTCTCTTAATTTTTTCATTACTTTACTGAAATTCATCAAATCATGACAAACTAAAATTCTTAAATGGAACTCATAGTAAAAATGGTTTGAATTACTTTCACTTTTATAATTAAGAAAGCATTTTCTATTTCTTATGTTAGCTAAAAAGTTTTAAAGTAAGTGAGCAGTGTTCTTAATATGTTATAGTATATTGAAGTCATAAGGTATGCAATTTTTTATATAAAAACTATATTAGTACAGTTGCCTAAGTGATCTGACTGCATTACTGTTTTGAGTTCTTAATTCTCCAGACTAATTCAGAATTGTTTTATTGAATACTTGGAGTCCTTTTGTTGACTTAATGTTGCAACAACTATCAATTATTAAAATTATTGTGGAAAGTTGGTATTCTCATTTGCATAATTTTCCTTCAAGATGGGGGAGAGTGCCTAGAGTGTCAGGTCAGGTCAGGTGTTTTTTGTTGGAAATAGGAACTATTTCCTAGAGGATAAAGGTAGAGTTAGAAAGGGCTGTGATCCTTGGGAATAAGAGGCAATCAGACATGATCCAAGGAATAGGAAGACAATTCCAATGCCTTTGATCAAGTTTCTCCCACTTGCATCAAGGAACCTACATTGTGGAACACAATTTTTGAGGTAAAAATGACATGTGCTATCAGCTATTTTCATACCCTAGTAAATTATTATATTAACAAGTGTTAAAGGTAAATGGGTCGTAAAGGTATGTACAGGTCCGCCGTCACAAATTCGGCATCATTGGGACCTGTAGTGTACCGGATTATTGAGTTTGCAGGATTACAGGTGGTTAGCTTAGAATACACTTAATAAAGTTAACCAGCTTTACTCGCACAAAGTTCCTTGAACATCGGCAAAAATTGAACATTTCCGCTACTTTGAGCTCAATTTCAAGGTACTTTTTGTCATGAAACCAATTAAAGTTGTATCTATTTCTGTAATATATCGTCCATTCTATCAAATGAGACCAAAAAAATGAAAATACAACCATACAAACCATATGAAAATATACTGCTAAGGGGCAGCTAATGGCTGAGAAACGAACTCCGTTATTTATCGTCTGATTTTTTAATTTTTGGTGTATGTTAAGAAGCATCTTTCCATCATACATTGCCCAAGTTTCAATAAGATAGCCCAACAGAGAAAAAATTTTACCAAGCCAGGTACTGGAAATAAGCCACTATGTCTGACTTTTTTGGGTTATCCTTGGTTCTCTGTACATACGCTGCTATGTACGGTAATCTGTGTAACTGTATTTGTGTATACCTGAATAAATTTACTTCTGTTCTGTCGACTGAGTACAAGAAACTGCCCATTCACCTATTTCTTCTACCCAGTAAAGTGATCAGAAATTGGTAATTTGGTCAATTCCACACAAAATTAAAAACTTTCACTTTAAAAATAGGGCCCAGAATATTGCAGACATTCCTGGCACTAAAATAACATTTTCTCTGTTCATTAATCACGGCTTCAGGCCCCTCTTATATTACTTTGCTTACCATTTGGAATTTTTATTCACACACAAAATAGAAGATTTGATAAATTAGACACATGTGCAACTCTTGGGTATCTTTATTGAGGAAACGTTTCGCCACACAGTGGCTTCATCAGTCCAAAACAAAGAGGAAGGCGTAAGGAGAGAAGGAGTATGAGGTAATCAGTCCCTCAACCTGGAGGTTGAGGGACTGATTACCTCATCTGATTACCAATCAGTCCCTCAACCTGGAGGTTGAGGGACTGATTACCTCATACTCCTCCTCTCCTTACGCCTTCCTCTTTGTTTTGGACTGATGAAGCCACTGTGTGGCGAAACATTTCCTGAATAAAGATTCCCATATGCTGCATAAGTGTCTCAATTTTCAACATGCTGTATTCTATTCAAGATTGATGGACTGAACACATCGACTCAAGGTTGAGGGACTGATTACCTCATTCTCCTCCTGTTCTTCAAGTTTCTCCTATGTATGGACTGATGAAGCCACTGTGTGGCAAAACGTTTCCTCAATAAAGATACCCAAGAGTTGCACATGTGTCTAATTTATCAACATGTCGGTTCTCTGAACCATTCATCTACAAAATAGAAGATTTACTGTTATGCAGACCATTATTGTAATAATTGTATAAATACAGTGGTACCTTGACTTACGAGTGCCCCAACTTACGAGTTTTCCAAGTTACAAGCCGTCGCTCGGTATATTTTTTACTTTCAGTTGCGAGCCAAAATCTGAGATACGAGCGAGCTTCAGAAATATCCAAAGTCTTGATAATAACCAGTGTGTAACATCCTTTCAATTTTGATACCACTGGTAATGTCATCCTGCCAGAATGTTCTATATCATATGCCCTAAGTAGAGAGAAACAATATCAAATGCCCTAAGTAAAAAGAAACAATTGTGGAGCACGTGTAAAACATGTTCGGTAGGCAAGCTGGTTGGGCGGCCAGCCAGCTGGCTGGCTGGCTGGCTGATTTGCTTTGGCTGTCTCTATTTCCTTCTGTCTGTCAATATCTCTGTCTATCTCTGTCTCTGTCTCTATCTCACAGGTACACATAAATACAGTTATACACAGTGTAAATTACCTAGGATCACCTAAAAAATCCAGATAAAGTGCTATACTATGCTTGTAGACATAAGACTTAATAAGCATGACTGGCAAGTAATACACACTTTCACTTGTTCAGGAATTAGACGTGACGACTCTGCATCATGTGTAATACCTGTTGGTTCATGAGTGGCTCTCTCTGAGACAGAGATAAGTAGAGAGAAGGAAGACAGAAACACAGGCAGTCAGAAAGACAGATAAGCAGAGACTGGTAAACATAGACAAATCTAGACAGACAGACATAGACACACAAACAAACAGAAACATGCAGACAGACAGACAGACATGTTTATGTGTAATATTGAAAAATATAGCCAAGGTAATGCATGATCATCAAATGTCACTCCACTGCTGCACTGTCAGCAGTGGACCTGGCAAAAAAGGCAAGATCATTTTTTAGGAGCTGGAACGGATTAATGGTATTTCAATAATTTCAATGATGAAAATTGATTTGATATACAGTGGTCCCTCGATAATCATCCGTAATCTGTTCCTGGAAGTGGGACTATTATCGAAATGGACGATTTTCGAATCAATTTTCCCCATAAGAAATAATGTAAATTCAATTAATTCGTTCCAGACACCTAGAAGTACCAACAAAAAAATTTTTTTTTACCTAAAAGATAGATTTACATGCACAAAAGAATGAACATTCAACATGACAGTTACCTTTATTGAAGGCTGTTGTTGATGAATGGAAGACACGGAGGAGGAGAGAGGGAAGAGAGGTTATTTGGAAGGGGAATCCCCCTCCATAAGGACTCTAGGGCACTAATAAAATGTATAAATGAACATTGGTAACAGGGGTAGTTGATGAGTGGAATGGTCTGCCTAGTAGGGTGATCGAAGCTAAAACATTGGGTAGTTTCAAATTTAGGTTGGATAAATACACGAGTGAGAGGGGTTGGATTTGACTCAGACTTGCACCCGAGTTTATTGCTTGAGTAGCATTTGTTCTGTTAGTGGGTTGGATTTGTGAAGGAATGGCCTAGTATGGGCCAGCAGGCCTGTTCCAGTGTTCCTACTTTCTTAAGTTCTTATTTAACATCACACTTACCAGTTGGGTGATCGAGGCTAGGACCTTGGGTAGCTTTAAGAAGAGATTGGACAAATATACGAGTTGGAGGAGCTGAGTTTGATTTGTGTCATTGGGTACGGGAGTAAATTCTTGGGTAGCTTTGGGTGGAGGTCATTTTGATAAGGACCTGCCTTGTATGGGCCAGTAGACCTGCAGTGTTCTTCCATTGTTATGTTCTTATTGGTATTTGTTTGTGTGAGGGAGGGATGGCAAGTTTATTGTTGGAGAATATGACACTAATATCAACTCTGTGGCTTATTTATCTATCACAATTCAACTAATATAACATAATAAACAATATTAATAACATAGAAACATGGAATATACTCTTGAATGAATAAAATAAGTCATTACGTATGTCACGAGAGGTGTTGAGTTGTGTTGTTGTTGGGTATATAAGGGCCACTGAGTGTAAGCCGTCCATAATGGTGGTGAAGCAGCAGCAGCAGCTGAGTCGGCGGTGGTTTTTGTAGCCCTATATAACTCCAACAACATTGGAGGAGTTGGTAGAATCACTGAATCACTAAAGAAGGAACCCACTACCACCATCACTACGACCTTCTACCACTATTAACAACTGTTACCACCATCACTACTACTACCTTCTACCATCATCACTACTACCTACTACCACCATCACTACTACCTACTACCACCATCACTACCACCAAAGAAAGCTTCTAGTGCCAGCCCTTTGGTAAAGAATGTGAGAAACACATTATTTATGAAAAAGTTTGTAGAAAAATACAAAGATGGTGGTGGTAGAGTGAAAGCAGTTGTGATAGTGGTTGATGAACATAAGAACACAAGAAAGGAGGATCACTGCAGCAGGCCTGTTGGCCCATGGCCCATCCCACTAACGAAACATTTTCCCAACCCAGTCCTCAATGCTACCCAAGAAATAAGCTCTGATAACTCTATCCACTCATTTGGGACTTGTAAATGAGTGGATAGAGTTATCAGAGCATATTTCTTGGGTAGCATTGAGGACTGGGTTGGGAAAATGTTTCGTAAGTGGGATGAATTGTAAAGGACCTGCCGAGCATGGGCCAACAGGCCTGCTGCAGTGATCCTCCTTTATGTTCATCAACCACTATCACAACTGCTTCCACTCTACCAACACCATCTTCGTATTTTTCTACAAACTTTTTCATAAATTATGTTTCTCACATTCTTTACCAAAGGGCTGGCACTAGAAGCTTTATTTGGAGCCATGGTAGCTTATTTAGCACTTGCAAGCACTAAAATCAATGGAGTATTATGAAATATTTCGTAGGAGCATGTGAGGGGACCGTCACTCACTGGTAAACAATGGCACACTGGCTGGGAAAGAAAGGCCGAGGCGGCTCAGAGCGTGAGTACGCGTCCGGGACGAAGGACTATTAGGACTATTAGCGAGTTACCGGACCATTTGCGAGCCAATATTTTGACGAAAAAACAGGACTATTTCCGAAATGGACGACTTTCAGGCCGGACGATTATTGAGGGACCACTGTATTGTATTCTCACTCTGTTATTAAGTAAACTGTAGCCATAGTTCCCATTTTTATTTGTGCCCTCTTATGCCATTCCATATTCTGTTAAGCACTGGGATAATATAGGAGACTGGTTCACTTGCTGGGATACCTCAGGCAGAGTGGGGAAAGGTCTCACAATTTTCAGAAGTTTTTTTCAAGGTGCCAGCCAT